GATGCTGTCTAGCCCAGGGAGTGCCTGCTACCAAGGACAGTGACAAGCCTTTATATACCAAAGAGGGTGTGTCCCACGTGTGTTCAAGTTTTGCTTACTTGCTTGGTTTTCCTTTTGCCAATTTTGCATCTTTGGCTTATGATTGCATAAATAATCTTCAATAGTCACCAATCCCCATATGTTCGGTTTTGAATTTGCCTTAAGAACAAACAGGTTTGCTGTGTTGAAATTTAAAATGGGTGTTGTTTGGATGAGCAGTTGTTCCATTAAGCTTTTTCACCTTTTGAAGAACATTGAGTAACTTAAAATCCAGTTTTTTCTCAGCATTAATTTAGTTTGCACAGAACATTTACAAAGTTTGGAAAAATAATTTTACCTACAGAGTTATAGTTAAAATAAGATTTTTCAAATTCAGGTTTTAAACAGTTCAGTTAATTGGAGCAACAATTAGCATAAAGTCAGCCAGAATCATGCCATAATAGGGATTGTGTACTACACTGTAAGCCACCAAAAGAAAATAAAAAACATATGCTAAACAATTTAATAGTGTTCAAAGTTGCCACATTTAAACAGTTGAAGTTATAAAAATACAATTTAGGAAATGTGTCTGTGTATATTTATAGAGAATCTTTTAATTTTTTTGGAGAATGAAAATATATTGATATTTTGCCTAGGAAATTGGAAGTGAGTAGTAATTTAGGAATCTTCTAATTTAATGGTGCTATGCTTTTTTTTTACATTTTTTATTGATTTATAATCATTTTACAATGTTGTGTCAAATTCCAGTGTAGAGCACAATTTTTTAGTTATACATGAACATGTATATATTCATTGTCACATTTTTTTCTCTGTGAGCTACCATAAGATCTTATGTATATTTCCCTGTGCTGTACAGTATAATCTTGTTTATCTGTTCTACAATTTTGAAATGCTGTCTATCCCTTCCCACCCTCCGCCCCCTTGGCAACCACAAGTTTGTATTCTATGTCTATGAGTCTGTTTCTGTTTTGTATTTATGCTTTGCTTGTTTTTGTTTTTGTTTTTTTTAGATTCCACATATAAGCGATCTCATATGGTATTTTTCTTTCTCTTTCTGGCTTACTTCACTTAGAATGACATTCTCCAGGAGCTTCCATGTTGCTGCAGATGGCATTATGTTGTCAGTTTTTATGGCTGAGTAGTATTCCATTGTGTAAATATACCACATCTTCTTTATCCAGTCATCTGTTGATGGACATTTAGGCTGTCTCCATGCTATACTTTTTAACATTAAAAAAAAAATCTAAAATCATGAAGTGATCCTGGATTTTTTTGACTTTTAAATGTATCTTAATGAAGGCTTATGTGAAGACCATAGTGCAGAAATTCTTAGCATAAGATTTGAAGAACTAACCCCCAGATCTTTGTTTACATTAAGTTTGACTGATAGAAAAGGGAGAATTAAGTACATTATAATAGTGAGTTAAAATTTGCTTGCAAAAATATATACCAGATTAGATAATGATACTTCAAAAATTAGGAAGGGGGCATGAGGTATATATAGCTTAGTGGTAGAGTACATGCAAGATCCTGGGTTCAATCCCTAGTACCTCTATTTAAAAAAAAATTAGGTGAACATAAGTTTCCAAGCTAGAAACTGTTTCTCAAAAAAAATTTCCTTGGATATACTGTATATAGAATTTGGTGTAACAGTTTGTCTGGTGAAATATTTAGTTGGGACTTGAATACATTATATAAAATTATTTTTATCTATCTGTAGGCTATGACATTGTTATTCAAAAATATGTTTACATGTATATTTTTATATATGTTCGCACACATTTTACAGTTTTACAGTGCTATTTGTGACGCTGTGGTTTTAGAATCTCTGACACAAGCTGCTGAGACAGGAATGGTGGTTATTATCTCTAGTTTGTATAAGAAGTTGAAGCTGAGATAGGTTATGATTTAGAAAACTGGTCTTTTGACACCTGGCTTTTGGCTCTTTCCTACTTTACCACTGTGTGTATATATTCTCAGCTCTGGTGGATTTGGTCTGGTGGAACTGAATGTGTTTACTTCTTACCATAAACTCCACATGGGAAGAAACAAAACAAAACAAAAAGTACTTGGAAGCATGAGTATATTGAAAGGGTAGGATATTTGGCACACATTTCCATTACTAGTTGCTTTTTCAAATTCAGTGTGTAGCTGCACATTCCAGTTTATGAAAACTATAGAAATAGTCTGTGCAGGGAAAGGGAGTGTGGCTGGGAGCATGAATGAGGAGTTGATTGTTAGTGTGGAGGTTACTACCCAACAAATTGCAGCTCCTCCAACTTGTTGGCACATGCAAGTGGGGCAGTAGTTAAAACAAAAAAAAAACCCAACCATGGGAATTGATCCTTGATGAAGATAACATTGCAGTAAAAGGAAGGCTATAATAAGTCTGGGTAGAAAAAAAAGATTCCAGTAAGTTTAGAGAGGATGTTGAAGCCTTAATATTAATGTAAATGATTTGGAAAGGAAATATTTTAATTAAAAAGAGATTTTGCTAGGGGGAGGGTATAGCTCAGTGGTAGAGTGCATGCCTAACATGCACAAGGTCCTGGGTTCAATCCCCAGTACTTCCATTAAAAATAAATGCATAAGGAAAACAACCTACCTCACCGCCCCTCCAAAAGAGATTTTGCTAAATTTTACCTGTAATTATAACAAATTTTGAATCTTGAGCTTACCAGTTTTGCTTTAGTAGCCTTTAATTTTTTTTACCCTGGTGGGAAGATATAAAAATCTCAATCTATTTGCAGTTAACAAGTGATATGAAGAGATCTGTTACAATCACATTAAATCACAGAATATGTGCAAAGAAATCTTTGTCTAAAAGTACATGGGAACAAGTACATGTGTAGTCTTCTAATACCAACTGCAACATTTAAGCCACATTTAATTTTTTTTAGTCAAAGATTATTTATTAACTTGTACACTCTAGAAATTGGTTTCTTCTTATTTGCACTGTCATTTGTTGAAATCGGCCTTCGGCATGTGTGAAATAAGAGAAGTGTCGTCTAATAATTCTACAGGTAAATTGGATGGAAAGGTTATGATTGTCCGTTCTAGTCTTGGCACCATTTACACTGATTGCCATAATCCACTGTCACTGTAATTTTGTTCTCAATTTTTATTGTCTCTATGTAAGGCATACTGATAGGTGTTCAGAAGATAGAAAGATGAATGAGATTCAGCTCCTGCTCTTAAGGATCTTACCAGTTGTTACAATCTAACTGAGGAGACAAAACACACACTGTCCACTTAAGCTCTATGTAAATAGTAAATGAAGTGGGACGGAGGTGGGATGGGGAGAAGCTATTAACATTTCCTGAACGTTTGCTGTGCTCTAGGTGGTTTACTCTCCTTTAATCCCCCCCGCCCCACTTCTCCAGATAGGTATTATTTACCTCATTTTATAGCTGGAAAAATTAAGCTGTAGAAACCTTGAGGAATTTGCCAGGAGTAACATACCTGGTTTATGCTACAGCCTAGTTTTGAATCAGGTCTGTGTCACTTCAAAATTGATACTTTTTTCACGTCCCCTAACTGCCACCTTAAGACTGATGAGCAAGAAGTCTTGTTGGAATGGGTCACCTGACAAAATTTTATGGTGTGGGTGGAATTTGAGCTGAGTCTTGTGAAGAATGGGTAGGATTTTTCAATGTGTGCTGCAGGGGAGAGGGCTGTTCTAGGAAGTGGTGCCTGTGAAATGCAAAGCAGGTGGAGACTCTAAATGGACCAGTTTGGCTGAAACAGATCATCCACATTTGTTAATTTCTCTTACAGATTTTATTGAGCCTCTGCAGAATTCCCTGGGTATACAAAGGTGACTAAGACAATTCTGGCCATCAAGGAGTTTACAGTCTACTTGGAGAGGCAAACAAACAAACCCACGAATCAGAGGTGATAATATAGGGTAATTTGGGCGACACTTGAGGCATGGACAGGGTGTTGAGAGAGTTCAGAGAGAGCATTCTGACAGTCTGGTGTTTGTGTGTGTGTGTGTGAGAGATGTGTGAGCGTGTGTTTGTGTGAGATGTGTGAAGGCACTGAAAGAATACTGAAGTCAAGTTTTGAGAAGATGAGTTTGGTTTAAGACTTGTGAATTTGAAGTAATAGTAGGATATTGATGTAAAACTATCTTTTAGCAGTTAGAGTTGTAGGACTGCAGTTGAGGAGAGAGATTGGAGCAGCAGATTGCAGGATAGTGAGGATCCCTGAGGGAAGGAATTTAGAGGAAATGAGCGAAAGTCTAAACCTAAACTCCTGGGGACAGCCACTTGAGCACTGGTTAGAAGCTAGAGAATAATGATACTGAGAAAGAGGGTGCCCAGGACTGTGGAAAGCAAGGAGGAGGGTCATAGACGCCAAGGGAGGAAAGAACCCAGATAAAGTGCGCTGGTCTCCAGAGAAGATCAAGGAGAAAGGGGATGGAGGAAAGATCATTGGTTTGGCATTTAGGAACCATTGGCATCCATCCAGAGGATAGATTTAGTAGAGTAGTGGTGGGGCAGTCAACCATGCATACTGGAATTGATGACTTTGCTTATGTTATTTTTTTTTTCATGTAATCCAGTTGATCAATTTCTTCTTAATTGTTTCTGGATTTTGAATCATGGTTAGGGTGGATATAGCTGCTATTCTCATTAATTTGGCTGGGGCTCTTGGAGTGTGTTGTTGATTTAGTTTTGTTATCAACTCGACTTTGTCTCACTCTTGGGATTTGGGTCTTTCCTATTTCTTTCTTATTTTGCCTCGAGTAAAATTCTCTTTGGAAGTATTTTTCTAGTTGAAAATACTATTTGCTTATTTCTGTCTTTGAGTAACTGAGATGTAAAATAATTTATGTAGAGGCAGAAAGACAAATCTAGTTAATGCAGTTTATGGCTCAAGATGGCAAGGCTGATGAACTAAACGTTTAGGTTTATGTTTTTATTTATCATATAACGCTTGAGAATAAGGCATTTTTTTTTTTGCTTGAATGTTCTGTGACTGTGCAAATTGCCAAATGTGCCTTTGTGATTACCACCCATGGAGTCAACACCAAGTGGAAAGTTGTACAACTATTTGATGGATTTGGTACCCTCCTCCCAGATAGCTTAGTAATTAGGATAATTAAGATATTTTTTCTCATTGGAAAACAAATAATATCCAGGGCTCTGAAATTTGCAAACATTTCCATGTTATACAATTTTTTCTAAAACTTTGGGGACTGCACTGTGATGGAAGCTATAAAAATATGGAAACAGCATGAAGGCTTTTCAGTGTATATAGTAGAGTGGTTAAGTGGATGGGTTCTGGAGTCAGACTGCTCGGGTACAGTCCAGGCCCTACCACCGACTGTGTGGCTGTGTCTCAGTTTCCTTACCCTTAAAGCAGGCATAATACTTTTACTTACAGAGTTGTAATGGGAGTTAAATAAGTTAATAAATATAAAGCATTTAGAACAGTGCCTGTCATATATAGAATATGTGCTTACAGAAGGTTTCTCTGTTGTTACTATTACTGTGATCAGAACCTAACCGACTGTCTAACCCACAGTAGGCCAGCAAAATACAGGTTAATGAAAGGATAGGGTTAGGAATTGAATAAAGGCTAGTGAGGAGGAGGAAATGGCTGAGGAGGAGAGAAGGGCAGGGGAAAGGTGTTCTACCTGGCAACTTTGTGGTAAACCATGCTGTTTTTCTCTGAATGACACTTACTTTCAGTTTTAAACTTCATTCTTTTCTTTATCTCCCACATCCACCAAATTACCAATTTTGTCACTTTTTTTCCCCATCTGATACATTTGTTTCTTTTTGTCTAGACGCACTGCAACTGTCCTAATCTGGGCTTTCATCACATCTGCCATTGGTTACATCACCAGCTTCTGAAGTGGTTTGGTGCAGTCATTTAAGATGTACTCTGTTCACTGCTGCAGGATTACTGTTCTTGAAAAAATCCTGTCATCACTTCCTCAGCATGTTCAGGCACCTTCAGTGGATTTCTCTTGTGGGTGGATTGTCCCGGTGGCCTTGTCCAACCTCATGCTCCTTGCAGTGAGTGAGGGTGCTGGCATGGAAGGATTGTTGCATTCTCCTCATAAAGTAATTATATGGCCTTGGGCAAGTCACTCAGCCCTTCTGTGTCTCATTTTACTACCCTATAAAATGTGGATAATAATAATAATAGTAAATACTAAAATACGTATAGTGTAATAATAATCCATGATCCAATGACAAAAGTGCATTGACCTTTCCTTAAAAGCATTCTTTAATTGTGAGCAAGCCTTTCTCTTAAATCTTAGCCAAGACACTGTTTTATCTCATTTTAAAGCGTTTGCTGCTCTTGGTTTGGAATGTGCTGCTTCTGCTCTGCTTCTTGTTCAGGTCACTGTGTCTCAGCTTCAGTCTCCTCTCCTTCATGAGGCTTCTCAGCATTAGTCTAGTCATGGCTGTCTCTTTCTCTCCATTTCTTATAATATGATGTAATTGTTATTATTGTTCCCTTTGTGACAAGACATTGAAGCTCCTTTAGAGAAGGGAGGGTGCCTTGCATTCTTGCTGCACCTGGTAGATACTTAGCATTCTCTGAATGTTTTCATAACACCTTGGTGTCTTTTTCCACTTTCTTTTCTCTGCCTTTGTTTTGGTCTCTAAACTCTTTTCCCATGTGTTTTGGCAATATGCAAGTTCAGAATTTAAATAAAGGCCAGTTGGAGACGGCCAGTTTAATTTTGCTTTGAAGTCAATTGTAATACTTTCAGATGTGAGAATGTTGTGTAAGAATGTAAAAAATCTAGATTCTGCACCGGAATTTTAAGATGTCTTAAAATATATAAAGATATATGCCTTAGAATGATTATTTATTTATTTATATTAAGAAAACATTTTGGTCCTGACTTACTCATCTTCATTAAAGGTTGTGTTTTTGGTCTTGGATCTATTGAGAGGCTCTTGATACTAATAAGCTGCCAAAGTAGATCTGTGCTCCTACATTTTGAACTTTTTTAATTAGGAAAATTGACTGATTTTGTTGGTTTCTGGTGAGCTAGCTCATGAGTATGGTGTAATTTAAGGATTAAAAGTAACATGACTCAGCTTTGAAGTTTCATTAGTGTGTCTTAAGTTTCTTCCTTTTAATCAAATTAACTTCAGTCTGTGAATGACAGTTGCTCACTATGAATTACCTGCATTAGAATTTACTGACATAGAACATAAAATAGAAACATAATATCCCTTTTAGTTTTCAATAAAAAAAATAGTAAAGGTGAAAGTACCCCAAACCCACCAACCAGTCTCTACAGACTCCAATTTCAAGATACTGAAACTGGACATTGTTTAAAAAGTCATTAGATGTCCTCCCCACCCCCATGCATAAGTCTAAGAAAATTCCTTTATGTGAAGTTGTGGTTATTTATCAAAGTTGGCTATCTCAAAGGTGGTTGGTAATGAGAGAAAATAACTTTATTACCAAGTCTTACTAATTTTTATCTAGGAAGTACAGGCAGATCTAAGAGAATAGAGAAAATTTTGGATTAGATATGGTACATGCAAAGGTTAAAGTATGTAATGAAAGCAGAAATCCCTCACTGTAGTGATTTTAAGTGAATGTATGTACTGTGCTTAAAATTGAAAATAAAAAAATCTTATGAAGTTAATCTCTTAATATTATTGTTTAGAGATTTTTAAAATACTAGACTTAAAAAAAATCAAACAACTTGTCAGTTTCATAAGAAAGCAAGAACAGCTCTTTGCCAGAAATCATATTTTTTTTTTGGTTGTGGGAATGGTAAGGATTAGATATAAATAATTATTTAACTGTAACACCCAGTAGCAATGGAGAAAATTTACCATAACCATTCTGTGACTTCCCTCCACAAGGCTGAGGATTGAAGATACCCGAAGAGCCTTTAATTTCTTGGATTTAACCCATTAAGTAAATACGCAGCATTTGCAAAGTCAATCCTCAGATAATTAGAGCTTATAGTGCTAACTGAAACTTTTCTGTGTTCCTGGGCTTGTGTTAAGCACTTCACCTGTATTTTTCTCTCATCAAATCCTGACAACAAGTGTAAGAGGTAGCTTTTATCTGAACTAAAAAATTTAGTAGTTTGCCCCAAATTATTCCATAAAGGGGCTTAGCTGGGATTTGAACACAGATCTATCTTCAGAGCTTTCGCTTTAACAACTCTCTTGAAGTGACGTGAAATTGTATTTTCCAGTTTTGTGACTTAGAAAATTAGCAAGAACATAAGAGATTTTACTTTCTTTCTCGGACTGGACAAGCTGTTCTTATCATTATTACATTTGTGATGAATCATAGACTAACTTGAAACGAAAGAAAGTTAATCGGGCAAGAATTTCTCCTCTTGAAGAGGTCAGACTTGGAGGTCTTAGTCTATTCTCAGGCTGGACTCTGCTCTAGCTTTTTGAGGGTGCTTCCTGCTTGGGTTTTTGGAGGTTCCTAACTCTTTGTCAAGATTGTCCTCAGCTCCGGACCAGTCATTAAAACAACAAATCAGAGCAGTTAGCTACTGTGCATAATTGCAGTGTTAATCCTTTTATAGTGCTGCTTTTTCCAGACCGAGCTCACACCCATTATGGAGATGAACTGCTTTTTATCAGGTTTTTACTCATAAGACTTAAACATGTGGTGTATATCTTAATTTAATATTAAACTATGACAGGAAGGGGTTCTGTTGCATTGGGATTGTCCAACTTCAGTAATACAAAAGCTATCAAACTTTTTGATGTCTCTCAAATATTTCACATATTGATCATTTTGGTTAAGATGTGGAGCTAAGATTAGAATTTTCTAGTCCTAAAGCTTAGATAGAAATGAGGGGATATTTACAGAACTGTAAGATGTGGTATGTTATTTTTTCCTTTGACATCTAGAATATAAATGCTACAGTTTAAATATGATCTAGTAGAATTGCTTTATTTTTTTTAAACTCTCCAAGGATGAGGAACCCACACTTATATTGAAATAACTGTCATTAACAATCTATCACACCAATAGTCGTTAAGTTGCTCTAAATGTAAGAATATTAAGAATAACAAGAACTTCCACCACTTTCGTCACTAACATTTATTTAACATTGACTTGCTGCCAGACTTTATCTTCAGGGCTTTATGTACATTTTCTCATCCAACCCACTTAACTGCATAAGGCAGATACTATTATTAGACCCTTTTTCCAGAGGAGGAAACTGAAGCTTAGAGTGCTTATCTGTCTTGCACAGGGTAACACAGTTAATAAATTAGTAGCTGAGCCAGAATTGAATCCAGGTCTATTGTCTCTAGATCCCACACTCTTAACCACTACCTTTTGACAGACAAATGTTTAATTAAACTTTGCTTTGTGATTTCAAAGACTGTCCCAGAAATATGAATTACAATGGGAAGGGTGGAACTTTTTCATTATAGCAGGACTGTTTTAGGATAGGCTTACATTTTGTACTTATAAATGAAGTAAATGGAATTTTTAAGGTAAGAAGACTTGAAGAATGTTCTTTTGGTCTAGCTCATTTTAGAGTGTTATTGTCAAAGATGTTCTGCAGACACTTTGTGATGTGGATATGTTTAGAGGATAATGGATTTGACTGACTTAGGGGTAGGTCAGTTATAATCATAAATTATTTTATGGCAAGTGCTTTTTTGGCCTGATATTCTAGGTTTGAGTGAGGATACCTAATAATTTAAGGACTGATATTTATTGGGAGGGCTAGGGTTTCAGTGGATTATTTATTGCATCACTTACCCAGACTTTCCATTAATTAATTTATGGTACTTTTCAATCTCATTTACCAGTTGATTCTTCATACCCAGGAGTTCAACGTTCTGACTGTCTACCTGGGTCCTGATTTGCTGAACTTGAACCTCCAGATTCCTGATCATTTCTTGCATTTGTGAAAGTTGAACACAGTACTTTCAGTTTCTGTCAAACTAGAAGGCTTATTTCTGAAGGAATGGAAAATAAACGAAGCAGAAAGACATAATCTATACTACTACCAGACAGAACTTAATTTGTAATTTTAAATCAACTGTTCTAAATTTTTTACTCTTGGCATTGTGTCTTTCTCTCTTATCCTAATTTGCTGTTCCTCTCTTGTTTAACCTTAAACAGAGTTGCTTTTAATTTTTAAAGTACAGACATTCTTCTCTGGAGACATAAAGTAGTTTGAGAAATCTGTGACTATTCAGTGACTGTCACATGGGGATAACCTTTGGACTTTAAAAACAACACGTTGCAACATTCTTACCAGAGATCATTGGGCATGAAGCTCCAGTTGCGATGTCTGGGTGGTTTGCCACAGCTTACCATCTTGCTCCTGTTGGTACTTGTCTTGGTAGCAGAAGTCAATACTTGCCTATTCAGTTCTTTACTCTGAAGTACAGAGTAGAATAAAAATACAAATACTTTGTAGCAGCTTTCATGAGCTCAGCTTAATATTGGATGATTTTTTAAAAATGATGATAGGGTTTATTTTTTGGTTAAACCAGGTCTCAGCCTTTCTGTGGTTTGTTCTGCCAAGACCTCATGTTACCCTCCCGTTGGGTTCAGCTGGGTATTCAGGTCAACTCCTGGACCATCTTGATTTCTACGTTGACTTCAACATGAGGTAACATATCATTGTCACCCCTCATTTCCTGATCCAATGTAAAATAATTAAAATGCCACAGGTTTTGCATCTGGAATATGATAATTAAAAAGGATTAAAAAGATAAAAATGGAAATATAGATTTTTTGGGGAAAAATTTTTCAGGTTTAAAAAACTTCTAGGAGATTACAAAATAGTGTTCCTAGATTTAGCAAATAAAATTACAGAATGCAACGTTAAATTTGAATTTTAGATAAACAACGAATCCTTTTTTAGTATAAGTGTATCCCAGGCAATATTTGAGATGCATTTGTAGAAAATGTTATTCATTATTTACCTGAAATTCCACTTTAACTGTGTGACCTGTGTTTTGTCTGGCAGCCCATTACAAAAATATTCAAGGCTAAGGTAATACATGATATTTTTATATTTTACAAAATGTTTTAATATAAGTAACTCATTTGATCTTTACTGAGAGGTAGATTTTGCCTTGAGGCGGGGAAAAGGGCGTTCTTCTTTAATTAGCAAACAATTGAAACTCAAAGTAACAGCTCATCAAAGCCACGGATTAGCAAAGCGTGCACCTGAACCCCAAGGCTCTTGACTCTTAGTCCAGCACTCTTTCTTAAAATTTTGAGACTTTGCAAAATACAGGAAAGCACCAAGAGTTAAGATTCAGAAAGATACAGATAGAAATGTAAGAAATAATCATATTCCACCACTCAGCATTGCTGACCCTTAGTTTTCTTATTTGCTCTTTCCAGCACAGTGCATTACAGTGCTGCTTTTAGTAAGTGCCAAGTTTAGAAAGACCCCTTCCCGTGGCCCTGGGCCCCGTGGGCTGCTGCTGAGATCAGAGAGGTAGGCAGAGGGAGGGAGGTGGGAAAAACCTGGTAGACATGTTGACGTTACTGTCTGTGGTATTTCACCTGTTTTACGAAACAAGTATCCTACAGTGACACCCACCACCGCCCTATCCTCACAAGTGCTGACTTACTGCAACTTTTGGTTAACATTTCATGCAATTCCTAACTCGTCGGGGTTCTTTTTTGAGGTAAGTCAGCGCCTCCATGAGGCTTTCTGTTTGCAATGCGAGGCCAGTCTTGTTCAGAGTCCCCTCATCCAAGGCTCCTCAGGCCCGCGCTGTCAGCCTCAGCACTGTTAAAAGGCAGCTTGACTGTGGTATCTGGACAAAGCACAGTTCGAAGAACAAATACAACTTAGGTAGTAATAGAGCTCTCTTCATCCAGTGGCCGTTGAATACCCCACAGAACGGAGGGTGAAGAGCACAGCATTAATTTATGTGATGTCATAGGTGTTGGCTGGGAAAAAAGGTGTTTTCTGCGTAAGACAAGTGACCTGAGTTTTAAGGTCCTCAATAATCATGTAATATCCGCTGTAGTCTTGAGGTTGACCATCAGTGTTTCATTTTCCGAAACTCTCATACCGTCTTTTTATTTTGAATTCAGTATCAGCACTGGCATTTTCTAGGTGATGCACCTTGTCAAGGTAGGAGGCTTTGCAGCTGTTTAAATTCTGTGTATCTTCCCTCTCATTACTTGACAAAAAGTACTGTCATCAGAGCCACCAGCATTTCCAAGGCTCCCATTTGGTCCAACACTCAATGCTGCTCCATCCTGTGCCAGTGCCCAACCCAACCCCAACCCCACAGACTCCACCAAATGGTCCCTTACACTATCTGAGCCACCTACAGTGCCAGGACTGACCTCACAAAGCCAGGTGCCCTCCAGACCCACTTTCCACCTTTCTCCATCCTGCTCCCTGCTCCAGGAGGATAGCTGCCTCTGGCTCTCATTACTTCTGCCCAGTGGGGACACAATCAGAAAATTAGAGGGAGGTAAGAAATAGAGTTTGGGTTGTTTATTCCCCAGGCCCTTCCTAAAAGCCATAGCTCCTCTCATGGTGACCTTCTTTATATGATTTTCCCTTTCTGATTAATCTTCCTTCATCTCTTTAGATGTGGGGGTGATAAGCTACTCCTGGTGGCTTCCCTACATCATGCCCACATTTTTGCAAATAGTCCTTTCATTGAACTCTCCTAGATTTTCCCTAATTCAGGTGTACCAGTTGTTTCCTGCTGGGACTCTACTGTATGGTAGGACTTGCACAAAGTTTTTGTCTTCCAGGAGGTTAATAGGAGAATGAATAATGCAATGCCATGAAATAAAGGCTAATAAATACTTATGTAAGGTCTTTGAAGGTAGAGGCCACCTATTACTCACAGTTTCTTTCTTGACACTTAGCCTGTTTAGTCCTGGGTATAGGCAGATGCCTGCCAGTGTGGAGGCAGAGGCAGAGCTTTGAATGGCGGGTGGTGGGAGGGGAGGGGAGAGGTGAGCAGCTGTCCCAGGAGGCTCCAGGTAGGCTACTCAGGGCAGTCAGAAACAGACTGGTTGCATTAAACAAAGGAATTTACCGGAAGAGTATCGGTGGCTTCTAGAATCAAAGGAACGCGGGAGAACAGGCTTGGAAGATACACAGGAACTGGGATGTTCTGGAGAGCTAGTTTGCTGAAACCACAACAGAAGTCACACATTCAGTGTGAGTGGGGCATCCTCACGGACAGCCCTTGGCTTCAATTTCTTTGACACAGATTTCACATAACAGAAAACATCTACAAATACATATTATATTCACTATATGGAAACTTTCTGGGCGTTTTCCCTCCAGTCTTCCTCTCAGAAAGCCTGCTTAGTACTGCAGCTAAGGTAGGTCTCAGGTGGGACCAGGTGATAAAATAAGGTGAGGCCTGATCCTCCGTGGCAGCCTGTGTCTCTGGACTGCAGCAGCCAGCTCACCTCTCTCTCCCTGACCTCATGAGATGAAAGGCAGGATAATAGGGGCCGCAGGTGGGAACACTGGTGAATTACAAGAGTTAGCAGGTGTTAAGTAACAGTGGAAGATGAGTTCTTCCCTTGAAGAGCCAAGTATGTGTGCAGAGGTGGGGCTGCTTTTGCTGAGTGTGAGAGAGCATTTCCCCATCTCTGGGGAGGAGCAGACGAACCAGAACCTACCAGAGTTTCCAGCATTGAATTGGGACCTCTGTTTGGCTGCCCTCTTCCTCTCTGCAGCAACCCTCCCCTCCCGCAGCTGTCCTGTGCGCTGAAGTCGCTCCCTGGCAGCCTGAAGTCACATCCCAGTCGAGTTTCTCCCCTCCTGCTGGGCTGCATTTCCCTGACTTCTTCCCTTCTGAAACTTTTCAGCCTATTATGGGAACAGGTGTTAAAAGGGTAGCCGTCTGTTAGTCTATTTCAGTCTAAGGTGCTACTCACTGACAGGGTAGGGGTGGAGAAGTATTCACCCAAACTGTTTACATTTAAAAAATGTCCCTTTTACCTAAGTGAAATTTCAGGCACTGTGGTGATAAAAATTTTGGAGAAAGGACTTTTTTGTATTCTTTCAGTGAATGCAGTTTGACTATCAGATCAGCTGCATTAGGAAGCTTTTTGCTTGTTTATGTCTGTAGGCCTTCTTTCCTCACCTGCAGGGAAGGGGCAGCGCCTTGGCTCTGCTTTCCCTGTTTTTGCGCAGTAGTCACTCACTGACTATATATTAATACTAAAAATTTTACGGGGCTCCTGAAGATGTAAAGAGGTAAGCTGTGGCCCTTGCTCTAAAAGAAACAAATCTTGGAGGCGGAGAGTAGAGGATGAGATGTAATAATTACAAAATAGGTTGAAAAGCTTAATAACACAGATTTATATAAAGTATATGAAGCACCAAAAAAGAGAAACTAGTTTTTTGGAGGACTTGGGAAATGCCATTTGAGTAGTGTCTTAAAAAGTGAGTGGGGAAACTTTTTTTCTAGGCAGGGGGACCAGCATATATAAAGGAGGTGTAAACATGCATGACATACTTGAAAAACTGTGGAAAGTTTGGTTTGGCTGGGGCATAAATTTGTATGAGTGAGTGCCAAGAGATAAGACTGGAAAAATTGGGGCCAGTTGGGGAAGGGCCTTTAATACCATTCTAAGGAATTTGGACTTGGTCCCATAGCCAGGGGGTGGACCATTGAAGGTTGCTAAACAGGGGATGAATATGATCTTAATTTTTAGAAAGATAACATTGTTGGCAGTGTACTAGATGGACTGGAAGGAAACTGGAGGCAGGGAGATGAGAAAGAATATGCAAGGGTCTGTGGGGACTTTGGGGCATGCCATTAACTAATACAGGAATGCAAAGGAGGAGCAGGCTTTGTAGGAAAGATAATGAGCTCAAGATAATGAAGATTAGGGCTGAAGCACCTGTCAGCATCCAGGTATAGCTATTCCTTAGGCATTTGCAGTGTTTGTTCTGGGATTCAGAAATTGTGGCTAGATTTTGAAGTCGGTGGCAAAAAGCAATCATGGAACAGGATGAGATTTCCTAGGAAGAATGGGTAGAGATGAGGACCAAGAATAAAACCTTGAGGAACTGTAACATTTAAGGAGAAACAGAAGAGGTTGAAAGGTCACAAAGGAAAAAGAAAAAACCAGGAGACAGAAGTTTCAGGGACGTCAAGGGAGAGGAGAGTTTCAAGGAGATGGGATGGTCAATGAAGTCAAAGATATCAACAGTTCAGAGATGTCATGTGGGACGAGGGCTTTAAATTTGGCTGTTCAAGTTCTGGGAAGACCATATAAGTACTGGGGAGTGAGTTCTCTCAAAGATACTAAATAAAATACATACAGATTCTCATTATTCATGTATAGTTTGTGAATAGTGTAACACAACCATTTGCACAAACTAAAGGAAAGCGTTAATTTCCTTCAAAAAGGAAATTGATACAAGAATTTGGGAAACAGCTTAAGGCTTAGGGATCATCCATATTGAGGAGATAATCAAAGCCTTGAGAACAACAGAGTTTTCTAAGGTAAAAAAGAGCAGAAGATTAAGATTGAATGGTGAGTAAACCCTCAAAATTAGGATTAGGACAGAGAAAAAGTAAGTACCTGGAAAAGGGAGTGAATAAGGAGTGATCTGGAAGGCTGGAAAAGCCTTAGGAAATCACAGCATGAATT